TTCCTTCCTTCCTTCCTTCCTTCCTTCCTTCCTTCCTTCCTTCCTTCCTTCCTCTGACAATCTACCAGTTAGCCGGATAGGCAGGGGAAAAAAAGGGAAAAGAAAGAAGGGTAGTGGAGTTTTCTTGTCTCATCTGCTCACATTTTGAAACTCCATTGTGTTGTCTTTTTGCATAATGCAGGAGCTTCCTAGCAGAGAAACAGAAAGTTCGACTTATCAGCAGTCAGGTGTTTTTAGCCACTTCCTATATAAGAACAGAAGAAGAGCACTGAGGCTGGACCAGACCAATGGCCCATCTCACCCCTCTTTCTGGGTTGTAGAGCGGCCACACAGAGGCACTGGGAAGCTCGCACACAGGGACAAGAGAGTGATAGCAGCTGAAATGCATCTTTCTCTACAAAGCCCTAAGTTTGGACCAGAATGCTACCCATATCCCCAGTTTTTCCTACTTAAAACTTCATAGTTTTTGTCTTCCTTTAATTGCACCACATTACAGTTCAGCAGCAGAGGGTGGTCACAGAAGAACTGGATGAGCTTCGATAGGTCTATCACGTCAGCCACTAGGGAGGCCATATATTTTGGAACTGACATGTCTTGGCTCTGCACTGGCTGGGTCCAGTTCCCTTGGGCAGGAAGGCTCCAAAACCTCCTTAAATGTTAAGAAGATTTTCTTAATGGCATCCTCTTAAGTGTTCAGACTTAAAGGGAATGCATCCAGTCAAGACATGCCTGTAACTCCCTAGGATGAACTTCCTTCCTTTTCGTCACATCGGGGCAAGTGTTTCGGATTCTCCAGAAGCACTCACCAATTGCTTTTCCAGGTGTGCCGCACATGAGGGTCGTGGATGTTGTGCTTATCTGCTTGCTCGTCCAAGAAGTCAAACATGTATTTGATGGCCAGGGGGAGTGCACTGCCACGATGTGCCGTGCTGAAGATTGTCTCAAAGAGGTCGTCGACAAACTTCTGTAAAGTGCCCTGCGAGGAAGAGATGGCAACATGGCATCAGGGGGGGAAAGACAAGAAAGAGTATATTGAAAAAAACAACAACAAAACAGAGTGGAAAGAAAAAGAAGGAAGAAGGAAGAAGGAGGGAAGAAGGAAGAAGGAAGAAGG